GTCCAAACAATCATTACCAAGAAAATCATTGTGGAGGAGCTTCTTCCCTATTTTTTCTTCTAAGAGTTTTATGGTATCAGGTCTTAGTGTTTAAGTCTTCAACCTATTTTGAGTTAATTTTGTGAATGGTGTAAGATAGGGGTCCAATTTCATGTCTCTCCATGTGGTTTATCTCATTCTCCTAGTACCATTTATTGAAAAGGCTGTCTTTCTGCATTGAGGATTTTTTGATCCCTTGTGAACTGTTAGTTCACTGTATATGCATGAGTCTATTTCTGGACTCTTCGTTCTGTGCCATTAGTCTACCCAGCTATTTTTATGCCAATACTCTACTGGTTTAATTACTACAGCTTTGTGGTATAGTGTGAAATCAGGAAGTGTGAGGCCTCCAGCTTGGTTCTTACTCATGATTGGTTTGACTATTCATGGTCTTTATGGCTCCGTACAAATTTTAATATTGTTTTTTCTATTTTGTGAAAAATGCCATTAAAATTTTGATAGGATTGCATTGAATATATAATAGGCTTTGGATAGTTTTTCTTTTTTTTTTTTTTAAAGATTTTATTTCTTTATTCAACAGAGAGAGAGACACAGCGAGAGAGGGAACACAAGCAGGGGGAGTGGGAGAGGGAGAAGCAGGCTTCCCGCTGAGCAGAGAGCCCGATGCGGGGCTCGATCCCAGGACCCTGGGATCATGACCTGAGGCGAAGGCAGCCGATTAACGACTGAGCCACCCAGGCGCCCCTGGATAGTTTTTCAAATTAAGATATAATTGGCATATAACATTGGGTAAGTATTTGGTTGACAACATGATGATTTGGTGCATATATATATATATATATATATATATATATATATAGTTATATAATTGCCATAATATAGTTAATATCCATTATCACAAATTGTTACAGGTTTTTTTCTTGTGATGAGAAATTTAAGATCTACTTAACACCTTTCAAAATACAATGCAGTATTGTTAACTGTACTTACCATGCCAAACATTATATCCCCCAGCCTTATTTATCTTATAACTGGCAATTTGTGCCTTTTCACCCCCTCTGCCCATGACACCCACTCCCCCACACCCTGCCTCTGGCAGCCCCCCATCTATATTATGATTTTGGTTGTTTTTGTTTTTTTAAAGATTCCACATATAAGTGAGATCATACAACATTTGTCTTTCACTGTCTGACTTACCTCATTTGGCATAATGCCCTCAAGGTGTAACTGTATTGCAAATGGCAAGATTTCCCTTTTTGTGGCTGAATAATATTCCTGTGTTGTGTGTGTGTGTGTGTGTGTGCACGTATGTGTGTGTATTTTCTTTACCATTCATCTGTCCTAGATGAGCACTCTCCGGTTTGTTTTCCCACCCAGGGCAAAAGGCACTGGGCAGGTTTGCTGGCTCTGCTGGTTCTGCAGTTCTTAGTAAGGACTGCGTGCCTGTTAATAGGTACACAGGTAGAGGAGACTCATTCTGGGTCTCTTGGCATATAGTTTTGGGTTCCACAACTCCCACCAACGCATTTTTGTTCATGGATGGATGTCAAATTAGTTTTTTAAAAAGGGAGAGAAAAAGGAGGAACCAATGTCTTATGCTTCCATCATGCTGATGTCACTCTCTGGTACTTTTGTTTTAAGTAATCTTTAAACCCAGTGTGGGGCTCGGACTCATGTCCCTGATATCAAGAGTTGCATGCTCTACTGACCGAGCCAGCCAGGTACCCCTCTCTAGTACCTTTTTTTAATGTGATCTTGTCTTAAATATTCTTACATAAACCAAATTCTTAATTTCAAAGTATTTTGTAACCAATCCCCTATGTAAGTTAGTATACCTCTACAGTACCAGTTTTTTTCTTTTTTTCGCCCAACATGGGGCTTGAACTCACGACCCTGAAATCAAAACTTGAGCTGAAATCAAGTGTTGGGTACTTAACCAACTGAGCCACCCAGGTGACCCTCTACATTACTGCTTTTAATGGTTACATAGTGTTCCACTATATGGCCTTAATTTATTTTGCTTACACAAACTTCAAGGACATTTTGTTTCTAGTATTTGCTTTTATAAATTAAATTGTGAGGAATCCTGTTAGTTTTAGCTATTGCCTCTTTACGCTAAGCCTAGCATTCTCTACTGTGCATTGCAATATTGGTGCTTGGGACTGTGTAAACCACATTTTACACTTGTCCCCTGCTTTGCCCTAGGAGACCCTACAGGAAGTGTGGAGGACACGGTTATGGGAGGAGCAGCTTCCTTCTTCCTGTTTTCAGAATGCTTTCCTTAACATCACCCTAGCAATGGCCCTTCACCTTGGCCACCAGTGGTACACTACAGCTTCTTTTTTTGAAATATTTAAAAATTGAGATATAATTCACATATCATTAAATTCACTCCCTTAAGAGCAGAAAATTCAGTGGTTTCAAGTATATTCACAAAGTTCTGCAGCCATCACTAGGAGCTAATCCCAGCAGGTTCGCTCACTCTCCAGCTTCTTTCAGCTCTCCCACATGTAGCCATATTGATTCCTCTCTGACAGGCAGCACCAGCTGAGCAGGACACCCCTCAGAGGCATTATCCCACCATGCCCTTCTGACAGTCGTGCAGTAACTGGATAGCACCCCTCTGAAGGTCTGAATTCCAGTTCTGCGAGGCTCTTCTCTCAGCACCTATGATATATCAGCATGACCCAGGCACCTCCCCTGCTTCAGGTGTGGAATCCCAGGTCTTCAAGCGTGGAATCCTCTTCTGAGTGGCTACGTTTGAATTCTTTGACTTCTTTCATCATGTTACCCTGGGGTGGTAGCTGCTGTCTGCAGTTGTTATCCCCGTTACCTTTGTGTTCACTTTTGACTTTAAAATACCTGTTTTAACCTGTTCTATTAAATTCCCTCTCATCATATTTGAGAGGTTTCTCTTCCCACCTGGACTCTGACTGATGTAAACATTCTTGTACGTACGTCAATGAAAATTAATTCTATTATTATAAAGTCATGTGTTGTTGTCTAAGTGGAATTTCCCAGTTAAAATTCCTTTAGAATTTGATAAAAATGAGCCTCCAGAGAGTTTACATGAATTAAACTCTCAATAAAAGTGAGTAGGAATAAGCATCTTCTCAAGCACACACCCTAACTCTGTATTACTCTTTTTAAAAATATGTTTGAGTCTTATACTTCAAAATGGTATTTTACTTATTCATAATTTCCCCAAATTGGAAATTAAAGTTACTTGGAAAGAGATAAGTGAAGTGTGGTAAATTCATACCATGGAGTAGGACTTGGGAAATAAAAGCCAACAAGTGTATTGATACTCGAAACAACACTGATGAATCTTAAGTGTATTGTACTAAGTAAAAGATAACAGATTCATAAGATTCCATATGGTAAGAGTCTATATATGTGACTTTCCAGAAAAGGCAAACTATAGGCATGAAGAAGAGAGAGTAGCTGCCAAAGGATAAGAAAGTTTGACCTCAAAAGGGTAGCGTGAAGAATTTTGGGGGCTGTGATGAAACAGTTCTGTATTTTGACTGTGGTGGTGGTTACACAGATCTATGCATTTGTCAAAATTCATAAAACTACAGCAGAGTGAACTTTTGTACAGAAATTTAAAAAAATAAATCTCAATATCTTACATGTTTTTACTTAAACATTGCATTTTTTCAATTCTCATAATGGACTTTTATACATATTTATCATTCATTTTCATTTTATATACCTTTGTCATTCATTATCATATTAGTGCTTAGTTCTGTAGCCCATTTTGTTTTACTTTCTCTTGATTTAAAGATCTCTTTTTTAATTAATATATCTTTTCTTTCAAATAATAAAAATATAATTTTCTTGTTTATTTGCTTTTAACTTCTTAAAAAAATTGAGCTGAGTTGTTTGTTTTTTATAATGTATCAGGTACTAAATTTATGGTTTCTATTTTTGGTGTTACAACTTGTCACCTCTATTTTTATTAACTTAGTGTTTTATTTTAAATCTTGAATCCATGTGAATTGTACCATGTGTGATCTATGTACATAACTTTACTCCAAATTGTTGGGAAGGAATTGCTTTTGGAATATTCTATTCTTTCCTCAGTGCTTTGAAATGCTACATTTGTTATACTGCATTCAAAAAATACACTTAGTCATGGCTTTGTTTCCATGAAGCAGATGCCAAACTATTTTTATTCGAGCAATATTGTGCATATTGATACTTCTCAGGAATTTTTCTTTTTGAAATGTTTTTTGTCTGCTAATTTAGATTATTTATTCCAGATGAAGTTGAGAACGCTTTTGTAAAGTACACATTAAGATACACAAAAATCAAAGAGAAAAAAATATATGCAAGACTGAGATTCTTAGTGGAATGTTTTCAAAGAATATCGCTTCTTTCTGTGAAAGGGTAGATCTTCATTTATTCAAGTAATCTTAATGTCTCCACAGAGGAAAGAGTATGTTCGTGTAAATGAATATATATTTTTGGAATGTGTTTTATGATTTATCTACAATTTTCATTTATTGTTTTCATGATTTTTGATGAACTAGTTTCTTGACCCCGCCCTCTCCCCCTGGCTTTTCATTTTCTGAGAGAATCGCTGATGGTGTCCGATACTATTTTTTTTTTTTAGGCATTCTTTTATTTTATTGATGGAATCTATTTCCTAGTATTTGAAAAAGTGAACGTGACATGCGGGTTCTCTTTTCCTGACAGCTGTGTCTGAATTGCACACTTGCTGCACATAGAACTCAGCTGTAATCCGTAAACTGTGGGGAGTCCCTGACGGGCTCTGACTGCCTGGGGAACTATCTCAAGCGCCCCAAACTTTCACGTGCTGGGTAAAGACTGCACTCTCAGCCAATCTCGCACCGCCGGTAGTCAGCAGGGAAAGGTAGTTCTGACTTGCAGCACTGATTGCCCGGACTGCCCGGTTCTGCGCAGGCCTGTTTCTGCGCATGCCTGGTTCCGCCTCCTGCCTCCGTGCACTTCCGTCTCCCCCCCCTCCCCGCCCCGCGGTTTTCTTCAGTTCTCGCGTGGGAGGCCGCTTATGCTCTGCGCTTTTCTGGGGCCAGTTCCTCACCACGAGGGAGCGACCGGTAAGCCCGGGACAGTTGGACGAGGGCCGAGGGGTGCGCCGTGCTGCCCGGGGGTCGCGGGTCGGGGGTAGGCGGTCGGTGCCCGATAGTGTGGAGGAGTTCGGCGGAACCCCCGAAGGCAGGATGGGGACGTCTGCATCAAGACTAGGGGTCGGGACCCCACGTGATCGGCCCCTGCGCGGAGCGTGCGGTGCCGTCCGTGGGGCCCCGTTCCGGAGGCCGCGGGAGGAGGGCGTGTGCGCATGCACGGTGGGTGTCGGAACCGGTGGGAAGGGGACAGCGCTGCGGGGAGGGCATTTGCGCGTGCGCGGCGGGTGGTTGCGTGCGGTGGTCGGGGGAACGGGGCCCACCTGCTGGGGCTGTGCGGTTACCCCCCCGCCTCACGGAGACCCCGTTCCCTCGGTGCTCCCTTTATCCTTCCCGGAGTCTGCGTTGCTCACCAGCCGTGCCCATCACTGCATCCTGATGTGCGCTGTTGCTCCGTCCTGACATACCCTTCCATTCAGGAAGGATCCTCAAGAATTGTTTTTGTCTCATTTAATAGAAAAAAAACTTCCCCTCTTGAAGGTTATTGACTTGCTCAGAATTAGTGGCGAAGACTAAAAGTGGTGTCTCCTGACTCATGAGAGAGAACTGCCTGCTTTCCACGCAAGGAAAAGCAAATTACATTAAAAAGATCCTTTGAGAAACGGCAACAAAGATACAGAAATTGAAACCTTAGACCTTTCCTTAAAGCACTGCTTTTTATAGCTTTCTGTGGAATCACTAACCAAAGGTTTAGTAACAGTAGGGAAATTGATAAAACAGATTAGTCGGGAGTATTTTTATCACAGTTTCAGTGAAGAGTTAATGTTACTTCACTGGGTGTATTGTTTAAACCATTTTTTTTATTTAAAGCAATTTTTTTTTTTTTTTTTTTTTTGTGAGCATCAAGAGAAGTTTAAACTGTTAAATCCTCAGGGAGCAAATATTTACATTTACCCAGCGGAAAATGTTATGCCCAGGAGCTACTGCGCGATTATGTCGGAGTCAGGTCCGATAGGTGGTGTGTGAACATCTGAAGGTCGGAGGTCCTGACGCTCTTCTTCCTGTCTGTTGGGTATGTGTGGTTCTGTAGGGCGGGTGGATTCAGGAGCCCCGGGCAGCCCACATCTTCAGTGACCCCATCCCTCTTGTTGTAACCCAGCACGTCTTCAGAGTTGTCCGCATTTTTCCAAGACAGCAGAAAATGAACAAATCCCAGGTAAGTTATTTATTCATTGCCCACTTTATTTTACAGTGGACTCTGTGAGATTTGTAGGACTCCGCCGTATGTTAAGATGGGGGAAGTTAGTGATAGATAAACATCTAACTTTACAGAAAATATACAGTAATAGATCAGAAGCAGGGCCAAGTTGGCTTGTAGATAGATCCTGATCATTATATATCTTAGAGTTTCTAAGTTGATCCACAAATAAGTCTCTGATGTTCCTGATAACCACGGAAAAAGGAAGACACTATTTTGGGTACAGACAGAATTTTCTTTTTTTAAACACAAGGACTTCTTGGAAGATATCTCTTTTGGTCTTAATATAGGGACACGTAGTGGATAACCTTCCAGTGACAGCCCTGAAATGAGTGTTTAAAACCATCCCTCACTGAGAGGAACAGGGTCCAGGAGATTGTTCAAGTAGTTAATTTTACCTGTCTTGTTATTTTAGTAGTTAACGTTACAGGTCTTGCTTGACCCTGCTGTGAAAGCTGGTATGTTTAGAGGAATGAATGGCCTGCAGGCCTGTTACAAAAACTCTCCGTAGTGACTTTGGCCAGGTTGGGTGTATAAGTTGCACAGCGGATGGTTCAGAGTTAACATTCTCCGACAAATGTGTCTGAGCTTCCCATTCAGACTCCTCCCTTGGAATTCTGTCATTCTGTCCTGGTCTTTCCTCTCTGCTTTTTGGGATCGATCCAGGTAAAGGTGGCCAATGATTTAATTGTCATTGCTTTCCTTGAAGAACTGCTGCATTATTCTCCTGGCAACTGATGGTGCACGTCTTCTTTGTCCTCTTCCGGTACCAGTCATCTGATGGCTCTTTCTTGGAGTCTTCCTCATCGTCCCCTATTGTTCAGTTCCAATTTTTCATCCTTTGTCTTTTTTTTTTTTTTAACATGAACACTGAAAAAAATAGGTAGAGAGTTGAACAATACTGTTCATTGTTTTGAGGACTTCTAAAAATGTATAAATTATCTTCATGTATACATGATGGACATTTTTCCCCTCAGTTCACCAGTAATTTGAGATCGATCCATATGTAGCTTATCCCTTGTAATGCTCTGTTTTTCCCACTGTATAGGTGCACTGTATTCTAAATATATTTTGTTGGTAGGCATTTAGGTAATTTCCACTTTTCATTAATATAAATACTGCTATGAATATCCGTGTTCTCTCTGCATAGATGCAAGTCTGTCTCCACACTCTGGAGCAGTGCTTCTCAAAGTTAGGTTCTTTGGTCAGAAATGGCAGCATCACCTCGAAACTCGTCTGAAATGCAGATTTTTATGTACCCTCCCAAACCTATTGGAACAGAAACTTGGGGGGCAAGGCCCAGCAATCCATATTTTTAACAGGGTGCCCGTATGATGCTGATACACACCAAATTTAAGAATTATTGCTCTAAAGTCCAGTGATTAGTATTTTTGAGTTACAGGATATGAGGATTTCTAATTTTTCTAGGTAAACTTATTCATTAGAGGACAACTTCCTCCCTCCTCTCCAGACATAAAAATTATTCTTATATTAAAGAGTGTAAAACGTCACTGTTTAATTTCTACTTTTCTGATTACTGAGTTTGTGCAACTTTCATAAACCTATGCTTTTTAAGTTGTTTCAGCCTACTGAGTTTAAGAATTCCCTATGTATTTTAAATGCTAATCTTTTGTTATAATTACTAATTATCTTCTCTTCATATGCTTTGTCTTTTAACATAATAGTATCCTTTCTGAAAGTTTTACATTGTGATACAACCCTTTCATGTCTTGTTTTTTTATTCTTGTTTTTCTGACTCCATGGGCCTAATGAAATTCTTCTATATTCTTTTTTCTAATAAGACTTTTCTTTAATATTTAGTACCTTAATCCAGAATTTTTTTAGTATAATGTGATGAAAGGATCTGATTTTGTACTTGTCCATCTTTAAAAAAATAAGCAGCACAATGAAAGGACTAACACAATACGTGTGAGTGGGAATGCTATGCGTGCTGCTGGTTTTCGACTGAGGTAGGTTTTGTCATGTTCACAAAGTATCCTTTGAGTCTTATTTTATTGAAAATTAGAGTTTAATTTTTCCAAATGCTTTCTTAACATTTTATGGGAATGATGATACAGTTTTTCTTTTTAGATCTATTGAATTACATTTCCACATTTCTTAATAACTAATCTTTGTGTTCTAAAACAAGTCCCACGTGGTCAAAAAGGGTTACTCTTTTGGTGATCACTGTAATTCTGTTTGGCAGTATTTTTTTCCATAAACTTGTCTATAGTATTCTTAATCATTTTAAAAATATTTAATTTTTTTCACGCATGTGGAATTTAAGAAACAAAACAGATGAACGTATGGGGGGGGAAGAGAGGGAAACAAGCCATAAGAGACTCTTAAAGACAGAACAAACTGGGGCGCCTGGGTGGCTCAGTCGTTGAGCGTCTGCCTTCGGCTCAGGTCATGATCCCGGGGTCCTGGGATCGAGCCCCGCATCGGGCTCCCTGCTCCGTGGGAAGCCTGCTTCTCCCTCTCCCCCTCCCCCTGCTGGTGTTCCCTCTCTCGCTGTGTCTCGCTCTGTCAAATAAATAAAATCTTTAAAAAAAAATAAAAAAAAAAAGGACAGAACAGACTGAGGGTTGATGGAGGGAGGTGGGTGGGGATGGACTATATGAGTGATGGTGTTAAAGAGGGCACTTGTGATGAGCACTGGGTCTTGTATGCAGGTGATGAATCACTAAATTCTATTCCTGAAACCAATATTGCACTGTATGTTAACTAACTGGAATTTAAATAAAAATTTGGGAAAAAAATAAAAATGTTTAATTTGTTCCTTTTTATTCCTAAAGGTTTTTCTGATTTTTTTGGACTAATGTTTATCACAGATAATACTTTATTCTTCATGGAACCAGCTTTTGGTTTTATTGATTTTCACTGTGTTTTTTAAAAAAGATTTATTTATTTGAGAGAGAGCATGCGCGTGTGTGAGCGCAGGGAGGGGGACAGAGGGAGAGGGAGAGAACGTCTCAAGCAGATTCCATGCTGAGTGTGGAGCCCGATGTGGGGATCGATCTCACAACTCTGAGATCATGACCTGAGCCGAAATCGAGAGTCAGATACTTAACCGACTGTAGCACCCAGGCACCCCTTCACTGTTGTTTTTATTAACTTCTGCTTTTACCTTTATTCCTTCCTTCAGCTATCTTTGGTTATAGGCTATTTTTTGTAACTTTTTGTTGAAGATGAGTTTATTGTAAAGCTTTTTATTATGCTCATGTAAGAATATAATTTCTCTCTACTACTACTTTAGCTACAAAATCCAAGTATCAATATATGGAGCTTTTTTTCTACACAGGTTTCAGTTTCCTTTCTGATGCCTTCTTTGATCACTAACCTAAAATGTGTTTTATTTTTTTAATAAATCTTATTTTTATATGTATAGCAGATGTATTAAAAAAATCCACACATTTTAAGTCTATAGGTCAGTGAATTACTACAAGTCTAATGCCCACAACACTAATACATAGGTCAGAACAAACACTGGCAGGACTTCTAAAGCCTCCCTTGTGCTCCTCCCACAAATCCCTCCCTACTACCTGTTACCTACCTATTCATTTGTGTCTGATCTGTGGCTTCAGGGTGGAGTTGAGAGTGAAATGATGGAGACCATCTGGCCCTCAAGACCTAAAATATTTGTTTTCTGGCTCTTTACACGGAAAACTTTGCAGATCCTTGGATTAATTTATTATATTTGTTAATATTGCTGTCATTTGTGTCCTCTTTAAAATTAATTTTCCTACTCTAAGTCCACATAGATAATCTCCTCTGTTATTTTTAAATGTGCATTGTTTTGGCTTTCACATTTGTGTCTACTTTAATGGACTTGCTGTTTACTTTTGTTTGTTTAGAAATCTTTTTACCATTAGGGCATTGCACCTTTTTCAGAACAAGTATAATTTACAGAAATTATAGAATGGAACTTTTTATCAAATATCAGTGTTTAACAATGTTTTCTTTAGCTGAAATATTATTTCAATTGTAAAAACCACCTTCAGTTGCAAAAAGTAATCAAAAACCTTATTGGAGGGTGCCTGGGTGGTACAGCCGGTTAGGTGTCTACTCTTGGTTTCAGCTCAAGTTGTGGACTTGGGGTGGTGAGATCAAGCCTCACATTGGGCTCTGTGCTTAGCGCAGTCCGCTTGAGATTTTCTCTCCCTCTCCCTATGCCCCTCCTGCTTGTGCACTCTATCTCTCTCTCTAAAATAAATCTAAAAAAAAAAAAAAACATGGATTTAACTTGATTTTACCAATGTCCTAAGAAGTCTTAAGCTAAACAATATTTTAAGTAGAAAAACACTAATTTTTAAATAGTTTGGTATACTTTTTCTGTGGTTATGTGCTTATATTAACTGGTTTGTTTTACAAGAAACCTTATGCGTTTATCACATTAAGCATTACAGAATCCAGGCATGAGCTAATTACCGTCTAACTAAAATACTCTGTATGTAACAATTGCAAGTATCAAAGCCCAACTGCCTGAGTCACCCAGGCGCCCTAGATTTTACTTGAGAGAGAGCGAGTACGAGCGAGTGTTCACAGAAGCAGAGGGGGAAGGGCAGAGGCAGAGGGAGAAGCAGACTCCTTGCTGAGGAGGGAACCTTACATGGGGTTTGATCCCAGGACCCTGAGGTCATGACCGGAGCCAAAGGCAGACGTCTTCCCAGCTGAGCCACCCAGGTGCCCCTATAATTTCTTCTTTTAAAAAGCATTCCTTAATGCAAGCTCTGGAGGTTTACTGTATCGGGGTAATTATATGTATTTAGGTGGCTCAGCTTTGTTCTGGGATTAGTCCAAAGCCAGGTAGAGTTCTAATGCATGAAAAGCTTTACAGTTCTACCTTAAAGGAGATTTAATATGCCAATATGATTTTCCAAGTACCTTTCAGAAATTGTTTTTGTTTTGTTTTGTTTTTTAAATAACAAGTATATTGCCAGCTTGCAGAGATGTGG